AATGTAAGCGGAAAACATAAGACATTGCTTCATATCTCGTCACTATTAACTAATGTACCATTACTGGAGACGGTAGACTTTATCTGCCAACAAATATCGGAAAGGCAAATCAACATCGGAATCCGTATACACACCTTCATGGAACTACTCCTTAGATGTACTATGAATGTACATTTTGTCTTCAATAGCTCTTACTATAGACAGATTGATGGGATAGCTATCGGTTCACCACTCGGCCCTATTTTAGCAAATATATTTCTTATCAAACTGGAGAATGGAGCATTGGAAGAGGTCATTAAGGAGATGACTACTTATCATCGTTATATTGACCACACATTGATTATTCTGGATCAGAATATGGATACAAGCGGAGTGTTAAAAGAATTTAATGAGGTGCACCCTTCACTCACTCTCACTTGTGAGGAAGAAAATGCGAGTAGGCAGAAGAGAAGACGGTTCACTCAGCAGATGTGTTTACAGGAAGACTACATACAGAAGTCAGTATATACATTTTCTTAGTCATGTGCCAGTTCGGTACAAATAAAACCAGGTTAAATGCCTCACTAACAAAGCGAGAAGAATATGTTCGGATGATCTAGCAGAGAAGGAGGTAGATTATGTTCGTAATTCATTGGCTGAAATAGCCTAATCCCCTAAGTTTCATAAAACGACACATGGACAAAGACTGGGGAAGCAAACCTGGAATTATTACCATACAAAAGAAACCGTCGTTTAAGGAATTGTAATTTAATGAAGATGTAGCCGGAGAAGTATACATCAGAGACTCTCTAGAGCCATTAGGAGGACCTTCTGTGCCACACAACTCTATCTATCACTTTCCAGTCGACCAACTGTTACTGCTCAGACAAAAGATAAGGTGTCTAGTTTCGCCATTTCCATGTATATTTACAAGTTTAGCTGCTCCTGTGGAGACAACTTAACAAACGTGTTGCTGAGCATCTACCTTCATGGCTGGGAAAGGGACAGATAAAATCCATTAGAAATTCGGTTTAATCTCACCTAGTTGATAGTGGTCATTTGGTAGATAAGAACAATGCTTTCACGACTATTCGCCGCATACCATTTCATCTTTCGAAATGTATTCAAACTCGTCTTTTACACATAGCAGAAGCTGTTGGAATTTGAGCTGGTTATCCTAGTCTGTGTATCCAGAAGAAGTTTGTATATCCCTTATCTCTCCCTTGATAATAACCTTAATAACCTTAACATTCAGTTTTTTCTCTACCTGTTTTCTTATTCGTCACTCCTTTGATATACTTACTGTATTTGTCTAGACTTTGTTTATCCACTTACGTCGTCCTTTATCACGTAACTTTTATTTTTACAAGCTTTTGATCCAGTTTGATTATCGGAGTGTCTACATTTTCATGCTGCTGTCTTGGTCTTTATCATCATTATCATTTATATTCAAAGTACTTTAGTCAATGTTATCACTTTTATTATTTGTGTTATTATCACCATCATTATTGTTAAAACATTTATCACATCAACCGATAAATATATATGGTTGGTTTAATTTTATATATATTAAGCCATTTGAATAACAGTAAAGCCTGCAGAGGGTGTAATTGAAAACAGTATTGTTCGCTTATGTCTTGTTCTAATTGTTCATTTCCGCTCTTTTTCTGGTAAATCAATGAGAACAAATTCGTTAATATTATTCACCACCATATTCCAACTGAAACTGCATACATACCCACCTCATCCATTCTATTGTACTTTATACTGGGTGATGATTTAAGGTGAGATGAAAATTTGGACCGCGACCGGATTCGAACCAGCGACCACCGGGTTACCACCCGATGCTCTAACAACTGAGCTACCAAATGATTATAATATCACCTGTGACTTTTTTGTCTGATATTTACAATCAAGACGAATATGAACTGGAATACATACAGACATACACACACATACCCCATACAACAAGAGGCATACAATTTCACACTGATTAATTACTTATCATAATCTAGAAAGACGATGACTATACGAAGAGGATTGGATAAGGAAATTAAATACACGCTTTTTTGAATTCATTTATACATCCTTGATGTTTTTTTATTATTTACCTAAAGAAACTCGAACCAAACTTACGTGCGAAACGTTAGAATTATTTGATTTTAAACTCGCTGTGACTTACACAAATACAATCTATATCTAAATGTATAAAATGCATTGAACCGAACCGATCGGTCTGTATTAGCATATGGGCTCTTGTGAGGATGCCTCGATATTACCTGTGTTTTTAATTATATAGTAATGATGGATAATGGCTAGCAGCGGAATCCATGATACGCATGTCGTCCTATTTACGACTCGTCAGCTGGATGTGCCTGTCTCCCAGTAAGTGATGTTGTCGAAATACACATCCTGGATTCCACTGCTAGCCATTATCCATCATCAGTATAGAATAGAGCTTGAATAAATGAATTAGAATAGTCCAATGGAATGTGATTTGTGAATGTTTATATTTCTCCAATAAAGACGTATATATATTTATTGAAATCTATTTTATGATGGCTAATAACACTGTAATATTTGGTTAAAAAACTCAACTGATATGGTAAAGTGCAAAGTTTTTATCCACTGCTACAGATATGCATAACTTAAACCAATGCGGAAAAGTCTTAAAGATAATCAGAATACCTAAACAAACCATTTATAGAAAGGTAATATGAATAAGGAAACGAAATGCTTATCTACTAATCATAACAAATGGATCTGTAAGAATAACTCCATTTATCAATTTAAATTATGATGTTATTATAAGAGTACAATGATACAGTGAAAGCTAACTCGATTCAACAATCTGTTCAATAAATTTCTATAAAATTACTCTACATGATTGGCGTTTATTATTTAAAGGGAGTATCTTTAATCTATCTACAGTTTATGGATACTAATTAGATCTCAGGACCTTAAGGGTTCACGGCGAATGATTAACCATTAAGCCACTTGGTCAGTTTCCAGTGGTTCACAATTTCCAACTTCTGACAATTCACGACATAACGTGACTATCACCTAAGGTCTTCAGTTAGCAGCCACTTCACTTCCGACTGGTTGACCCCACAGGTCACGGGTCGTGGGTGCGTACTGCTGAGGAGTCCTATACTAGAACGAAACAGCTATCCAGTGATTCCCAAATTTTCAATGCTTTCCCAACTGAAGGCAGTCCATGATGAATACTACTTCTAAATTCAAAAAAATCCCATTCATTTCAAAAATACAATACTAATTAGATCTGTTTTTCCCAATTAAAGGAATCCAATGAAATTTCTACTATATCATTTTAAAATAATTTTTTACAGGTTAAAAATACTTTTTTTAAATCATGAAATATTCAAGTAGTATATGAAGAACATTGAACAAAAATAAATAAACATACTAACACAAATGATATTAGGCATAATAGAAAGTCCGGATAAAACCTTCCCACTATGAGATTATAAGATGTAGGTGAATGCGATGTTCAAAAATCCATCCAACTGATTAGTGTTAAACTTGCAAATGATTTCACGAAACGAAATGTAATTCCAAAACATTACAGTAAAAGAACTGTGCAAATCAACTACACTGATCACTGAAAGTTGTTCAATAATGTTAAATAAGACGACGATATTGATAAAATGTTAGTCAGATAGATGTTTTTACAATATGACAGCTATTAAACAGTTACACCAAAGATGTATCTCTCTTTATTTCACCTTACGAAATTCCCATTGAATCATTCATACATACCCTAACTAATAACTTTGTGGACAGAAGCACCGAGAATAATAAATATTCAGGTACTGGGTGATGATTGAAGGTGAAATGAAAATTTGAACTGCAGTAGGATTCAAACCAGCAACCATCGGTTTTCCGGCTAGGCGCTCAACCAACTCATCTGCGAGACCCGATTGCTGACCAAATTTTGATTTCACTTCAATCCGGGTACCATGCTAATTCATGAAGCGTTACTACCGCCCATCATCCAGTGTCGATACTGGTCTGCTATCTCAGATAGTCAGAATGATAATTATTCAGATAACTGAACAAGATATTAATAAACAGCTAGGTATTAGTATAACTGCTAGTAATATACCGTCGTTGATGGGACCGAATTGATCGGTCACTACTGGCATATGGGCTCCCGTGCGGATACCTCGCTCGATATTAGCTGTCTTCTAATTATAGTGAAGATGGATAGTATACGATGTATATGAGGTATCCGCACAGGAGCACATATGCTAATAGAGACCGATCAACTCGGTTCAGTCAACGACGGTATAATACAAGCAATTATACTAAAACTATACCCGCCGCACAACAACTGTTTATCACCGCTTGGCTGTGTGGTAGATAACACTCTGGCGCCTGAAGCGATCAGTCATGAATCCAAATCCCGGTGGAGCAGCGCCACTCACTGGGAAGCAGGTACATTCAGCTGACGAGTCCCAAATAGGACCAAGTGTGCATCCTGGATTCCACTGCTCGCCGCTTTCCATCTTTACTATAGTTGGATATTAGGTTGGAATTCATCATCCACTAACGTCAATTAAAGGAACTTTGGAAACCTGAGAACACTAGACGGCTGTTTTATCATAGTTTAGGACTCCCCAGCAAGGCGCATCCACGACCAGGCTAGGGATGGGACCCAGGACCTTCAGGTTCCGTGACCAGCACGTTACCAACAAGCCACTGGGTCGGAATCCAATGGTCCATATTTCTAACCAATCAGCTCACAAGGCAGGAAGTGTGGACCACTGGATTCCTACCCAATAGCTCAATGGTTATGTGCTGGCCACGAAGCCTGAAGTTTCTGGCTTCAGTCTCTGGTGGGGTCACGGGTGAGCACTGCTGAGGGGTACTTTACTGGGGCGAATCAGCCGTTCCGTGATCCCAAGTTTCCAGTGTTCCTCTAACTGACATTAGTCCGTGATGAATTCCAACCTAAACCTCCAGATGGAGTTAAATATTAGTTTACTAAATAAACTTACTTGGTTGATTCATATTGTCTGCCGTTGTAGCTGCTCGCCATGACGTTGGTGCTTGAGGAAAATGCTGTCTACTGAACCCAAAGTTTTGTACATCTTCATATGGATTTTTAGATTACCGTTAACTTGACGCTGTGACAATTCTTGCTTCATATTCGAGCATCAGTTGGTGGAAAGAAACGAAAAAGAATAAGCAATTGAACTTAAATAAATCATCTAACATAAATTGAATCTGTATTCATTCAAAATGAGATATTTTCAGAATAATCGCAAGAATAACCTTATACATATGAACGCATTCCATCAGGATTCTAGAAAAATAGGAACTGAAAGCAAATCACATACACACTGACAGAAATTCTACGCAATGACAGTTAACAGTACCCGTCAGCGGTTGCTAAAGACATGGTAAAGGCAGTAGTAATAGATAACCATAAACAGTCATTTGAACTGACCAAGCGAACCGGAGCAAAAATGCCAATGGTTACTGAGATCATGAAGGAGAAGACTGGGTCCACGATTCAGTCACAAGAGCGACAATTCGAAAGATGAGGAAAACCGTTTGAGGAGCAGTTCAGAAGACATCCACTGATAACGAACTATGCAATATTAATTACCACGGTAGCCTGTCTTTGGTTTCCAGTTATCCAGTTCGATCACGAATATAGCACAGAGAGGGACACTTCAGCATAGGTGGTTTTAAAAGGCTGTAAATAACCTGAGATGAGGAAGCAGGATTATTAAAGGACACTGTTTAAGGGTTATTAGCTACATTCAATGAAGTGTTAGCTAGTGTATAGGAGTCAGATATGATCTAATCTATTCGATCTCAGTCACTAATTGTTAAAGTCTTCAAGAGCGTAGAGAAATCCTCTTTTTACAATCACAGTGAAACCAGTCTGATAGACATGGTGTTTAAGATGCTAGGTTCCGTAATCATTAAACATGTAAGCTAAGCTTAGAAAGAGCAAACTCGGAAAAGTAAAACAGTTTTCAGACCTAATATTAGATGTACCGACTAGATATTCACTTTCTGCTAGGTTCTGGAACATAATTAACCGAGCTGGCGACCAATACCAGCTATATTTCTAGATCTGAAAGTGGTATTCAACTCCGTCTTTTGAGATGTTTCATAATAGTTTTTCTCACTGAAAAGACACTTTTGTCAGTGACTTCATACAGTATAAGCAAAACAAAATTTTAAAATAATGTTTTATCACGCTTCCTATTTACTCTATATCTAATTAGAAAATCTAAATGTAATACAATACTCATAAGAACATTCACATTAAGTAGTCTATACAGTAAGAACTAAACAAATAAGATAGAAGAGAGATTTATACACTTTCATATTTTCTTATTATCGCTAGATATTTAGAAGTGTTTTACACCTTAAATCGATAATAATCATTATTATAGGCACAAAAACCAATGCATACTGTGGAAAAATGAATGAATTTTACTAAGTTTCATTGATATAATCTTTTTTATAAAACTGTCAACATGGTATTTTGTCTGTTAAACAATAAACAGAAATTGTATGCAGTACTTTTTGACGAACAGAACTGAAGTCATGTGAATATAGAATTTTCAGAAAAATGCCATGTTATCAAGTAAGTAGTAGTATAAGTATATATTAGAAAGATAAAAAGACTACCACTAATCTAGTCAACACTGTTAATATGTACCAAGTGAATGAATATGACTAACAGAAGAGAAAGAATAATCACAGAACCACTAGTATATCCTTCATGGGTCTTCACGTTAAAGTAGTCTTGGTTGCAGATCACTGCATTTGATGAGAAGGCATAGAAATCATCTCTTGATAAACACACAGCAATCAATCTGAGGAAAATAATGTCTAATATCAAGAGCTCCAAAGTATCAAGATGATTAATTGCAGCTTGAAAACAGCAAATCTGAGAAAAACCAGGTAGGTTTCAAATTTAAATTAAAGTGTATCTACGAAACCTTCATCATTCGACAGGTTACGGAGCCATACGGCAATTGCCATATTTTTTGATCTGAAGATGATATTCGGTTCTGTCAACCAAGGATTGTTGTGGCAGTGTCTGACTGTGAAAGGAGTATAAAGCAGATATATTATTCTCATTAAGATAACCTAATCTCACACAACTATATAATAGTTTGTGGAGAGCTATGCTTTGAAATTATGACAACTAGTTGTGTACACCAGTGATAAACATGATCACTTTCATTTGACTTTGCTATAAACGTGCTAATGACTGTTAATCTAAGTAATTTTGACTTTCCAGGAATTGAATGACTTCCCTTAGTGTATCTGGTTGACTTAGAGTATATGGACAAACTAGCCCGACTAAGTGATGCTGACAAGAAACAGAGTATTCTCGGCACCTTGAGCAAAGAACGAAATATGTTTTGGGATATAGTTTACAACTTTTAAATGTGAGATGCGAGATACGCTACCACTTATTAAAGTACAAATATACTGCGCTTTAGTCCACTATAACCTACCATACAGTTCTAGGAAATATCCGTTGAAAGTAGAAGATATGAAGACATAAAAAATTTTTGATCTCGTGCTTCTTTGTAGCAGTGTTCACATCTTGTACAATCACCATCTGAATAATGCCTAGTTTAGGCGAAGAAAACTATGCAAGGAAGATTATTCAGTTGATGAAATTGTGAACCTTCACCTGTAAGGTACCTGGGACACGTTTTATGCAGGCTGACTCACTGATAAACTCAACATACAATGCCTGCCTAAAAAAAGAATTAATTTACATGACCAAACCAAGATACGGAACTATTCAAAAAAATTTTTGACTGCCTAACCCATGTAAAGGGTGTAGATAGACTGGTTGGGGTCCTCAAGACGATGGGGACCAATCGTTAACAACATATTTGAAAATTAGTCATGTTTACGTAGATGTATATATAGCCCGTAACATTCATAGTCTTGAATATTTTCAATAACTCCCTCCCATCTCCTGCACTTTTACTGTGTATACAGCCGTGAAATATGGTGATTTGAACCAATCCACCTTTGTGCTAGGATATAAGTTGATTTGTCCATCTATCTATCACTTGTATCCTGGATTTCTTGGAACGTGTCAGGCATGGCTATCCCACTAAGAGTAAGCTTTAAAATGACTCCAAGGTAATCTTAAATCATTTCAGGCAAAGAGGCAACGGTGTACGAATTGGAATGTCTCGTTTAGTAAATATTCTGATGCTGAAGTAACTCCAGTAATGGTTTATCCTAACCTCACTTTTTGATAATATAAAGCTAAATACGTCATAAAAAGTATTCTTTACGAAGTCAGAAGGTAAGTAGGAGAGAATAAATTATTATTATCGTATTATTTTACCATCGCATTTGAATTTTCGGTAGTAACACGACTGCCTAATCTTGGAAACAGAGTTCAACATAAATGAGGTGAAACAAAGACAAAAATCTTAATTTCGAAAACAAAGAGATGTCTAAGCAAAGCGGTGAATATTATTATTATTATTATTATTATTATTATTATTATTATTATTATTATTATTATTAGATCAATGCAGAGTCCAAAGGAAAAAAGTTAAAATAACAACCGTATCCTGACTCCTTTATTAACCCAAAACGTGTCATCCAACTCCTTTGTATTTCCTTGAAGAGATTATACAAGGTGAATCCCAAGAAAACGGAATTCTGTTCCTTTTAAATTCGAATTTAGATGCAGTCGTAATTAAGAGGTCAAAACATTCTCATTGTGGTGACCCATAGATATAAAGTCTGTTAATGTATGAACATTGGCCACTGGCGATTACATCATTATTATTATTATTCTTTATCCCTTGGGTTCCTATTGGAGCATACGGATTCAGTAGCACGTCTCCAGTGCACTGTATTCTCTGAAATCTTTTGAACCTGACTCCACGACTGCCCACAAGCTCTCATTTCCTCCTTGCTCGATCTCCTCCATGTCACCCTCGCCTCGGACACCCAACTCGCCGTTTCCCGTCTGGGCTCCACTAGAAGGCCTGGGACGTGAAGTCCCCAGTCAGCCTTCTCAGTGTATGCCCAATCCATCTCCACTTTTTTCTGCACATTTTTGGGGTGATAGGTTCTTGCTGAGTTGGTTCTTTGCTAGGTCAGAGTTCCTTGTTGCTTATTCTTTCTGACCATCCGATCTTCAGTATCGAGCCAGCGTAGGCAGCTGCTGATGAATGTCTGTAGTGTGTTGGAAATGATTTTCTTGACGCGTCAAGTTTCTGAACCATATAGCAGCAGTGACTTGACTGGACTGGTGTTGAAAATCCGGATCTTGTTCTTTGTGCTGAGTGTAGTGGATCTCTACACTGATTTCATATTAGTGAAAACCCGTCTCGCTTTTCCGACCCTGGTTTTGACACCCTCGTCTGTACCACCGCCTGTAGTTGAAACGATGCTGCCTAGGTACATGAGTAGGTGAAAGACTACTTCCTTTAGATTTCTCCCGTTAATGGTGATTGGTGCTTGTTGTTGATGCTGTTGTTGGCCGGGTATCTTCATCACCTCTGTCTTCTCTACATTCACTTGAAGTCGCGTTTTCGCTGCCTCTTCTATCAATTTGTTGGTTTTCGCCTATAGATCTTCGAGTTTGTGAGACATTAAACATAAATCATCGGCGAAATCCAAATCTTCGAGGCTGATTCAACAATTTACAGGTGGAAATTTCTTTGAGAAATTTTGCAGTGACTTAAGATAGAAAAAATTGTAGAAAAGGATGTATCATGCTTTTTCACTGGTAATCTAAAGAAAAAAATCTGCTCGGTGGTAGCTAGTGATGGAATTCAGGACGTGGGTATCATCCATCTTACTTGCGACTCGTCAGCTGAATGTATCTACAACCCAGTAAATGATGTTCTGTCCACTAAGAGGTTAAATACTTCAATCCAGAATAATAACATAAAATTACAAATATCAATAAATGAAAGAAAGAATGCCTAAAAAATGAATGTGTAATCAGAAGTACCTTAACCTCTCTCATTATGTAGAAGTGATACAGTGGATAGGCCTTTGGAAACCTTTAATGCATAAAACACTATCAACTTGTTTGTTGAACTAGATTTTTGTTTAAAAAATAATTTCATAGTTTTAAGAAACAAAGCAGCCTTTTGGTTATTCGTAGAAGTTAATT